CTCTCTCAGGGAGATATCTGTACACTGACTGGTGTCTCTCAGGGAGATATCTGTACACTGACTGGTGTCTCTCAGGGAGATATCTGTACACTGACTGGTGTCTCTCAGGGAGATATCTGTGCACTGACTGGTGTCTCTCAGGGAGATATCTGTACACTGACTGGTGTCTCTCAGTCCCATCTCTCTCTCTCTCAGGGAGATATCTGTACACTGAGTGGTTAGTTAGTGCCCCCTCTGTGCTGGGATTTCTTGATGTGGATAGCGTGGAGCGAACTTGACTGAGATGAACATTGGAGTGGACTGAGCTTTATATTCAACTTCAAGGTGTAGCTTACGAACCGTGATGCCGCCCCCACCCCCCATACTTCCTGACATGATAAAATAAAGCAGACCTCACGGCTGTCAGGAGAAAAGCAGTTTTATTTATAGCGTTGGGAAGAGCAAACTATTTCATAATTACAGTCACACACTGGGACCTGTGCGCTTTGCTTTAATACACATATTTACAGGAGTGTGGGGAGAGGGACAATCCTGACCCCCCTCCCTCACTGACACCCCCCCTCCCCCAGGAGGTTAGAGAGGGGCAAACATCTCGCCGACCCCCAGCCTTTCGCGTTTCACTGGGACAGCACATCTCCTCCACACTCGCACATCTGCCACTACCACTCTCATTCTCTCCTGGATATCCCCCCCACCCACTCTCCCCGCCCGTGGGGGGGGAAGCGGAGGGGTGGATTAGGAAAGAAAGCTCCTTCAACAGGCCCCCTCCTCCCAGTTCGATCCCACCCTCACCTGGTGCCTGTCCACTCCAGTAACCTCACCCCAGTCTCCGCTCCTCGGCTCCCCGCGAGTGATGGGGGGAGGGGGGATGGAGACAGAGGGAGAGGATCTATCAGCCTACCTCTGCGCCCCCACCCCAAATCACGAGACATAGAGGTGGGGGGGGGGGGGGGAGAATGGGGGCCGGTGACTGATGTCCTTCTTATTCACTTAAGATCACCGTCATAATGTCTCTTTTCCCCTCCGCCCCCAAACCCCCCAATCCCTCTCCTCCCA